CCTCATCTGTCTACTGCTTGAATAGCTGTGTTGTCTGCACTCAAAACTCTTGCTGGACTTTAAAGCTACTGTTAATCATCAACTAACATCAACAAAATGCTTCTGAATATTCTCAGAATAACAAATAAGCCATCCAAACAGAAAACGGCATGCACTCAAATTATTTGAAAAAACTTCAAGAGGAATTTTCTTTGCTATTGATTGCTAAGTATAAGCAAGAATTTGCATGGAATAATGTCACAAGCAAAAATTATATTATTGTGTTTACTTTCAAATATAGGCTAAGGGACATCTCTTTAAGATATGTATATGCCATGTGATGCAGTTAAGTACCTTCACTGCAATAAAAGGTGTACTCAAATGCCATTGAAAATCAATGGGAGTTAGGTACTTCTGTCCTTCAAATTCCCCAGCAACTTCAGTATGATCGGTTTTTCTCTGTTACTCCCTAAATACTTTGACAGCCAGGTCTTATTATATATCTCCCAGCAGAGAAGATTATGAGTTGAGATGTGAAGTTCTCTTTCAAATGAGATTTTAGCCCAGGCACTCAAAACCATGCTAGTACCACAGTTTCAGAAAACTTTGAAAGGTGTTTACATGTGAGAGGAGCCCACGTGAAGATGAAAACAAATCACTCATCCTACATATGCTTTTTCCCCAGCTGCCTACTCTCCTGTCTTTTAAAAGCTGTTCCTTCAAGCCTTCCTGTTTCCAAGGAAGTCCATTTTGTTTCTCCTTTCTCCCCTCTAACAGACTCTTTCACTCATTGCAAAGCAACTGCCTTCCCTTTGGCACTGTTCAGTTTTTTCCAGGGAAGTGTGACTCAGGCCCTCGTCCCTCTTCACGCCTTTCTGGGCATCCCAGCCTGAGTGCCATGCTGAGCCAACTACAGTGCCCTTCCTAAGGAAACCAGTGCTTGGATCTGAAAAAACAGACAAATTGTACTGTCACCCCTCTTCACCTTGATATGTCAGTTCTTTTTTTGTCCAAATACTTTTGCTTAAGTCAGCTTTTGTCGTGGCAAACACTCTTCATGACATAAATTTCAAAAATCCAGAGTGGAGCTCTCGTTAGACGTCAGACAGCACAAGAAACCCACAGTGTGCCTTGCTTTTGGTTGAGTTTTTCATAGTATGGGTAGGCCAGCAGGAAAATGAGGGCAGAGCTGCCAGTACAGGGACACTGATACAATCTACATTCCTTGCACACAAAAAAAAGGGCTTGGCTTAGACATCTCCAAATCGTACCAGTACAAAGACAATACTGGTGTACAGAGAGGGTACAAACAAAGTAAAACACAGAGCCTTATAAGGTGGTCTCCAACAGAACTGAAGTCAATTAATAAGTAAAGCTTTGATGATGTTAGAAGTGCCAATGAAAAACTGCTAGAATGAATTATTGTACAGGTAATTAATGCCTGTATGCATGTGTATAAGGACATGAATTTACCAGACACTATTTCTACAAAGACTGTATTGAGTAACTGAGAAACCTGTGCAAATGTAATGTTCTTGATTAGTGCATCTGAAAAGTTTGATTCCCAGCTAGTTTTGCCCCAGAAGTGATTTTGCCCACTATAACAAGAGAGGGACAGAACATTTCTTACAAAAGAAATAGAACATTTTACTGTTTTACTTTTTTCAGTTTGTCTCCAGGCTTTTTTTTTTTGCCCATTTTTCAGTCAGACGTGACAAAAGTCCTGAGTATTTCTGCTGGAGTGGTTCTCTTCCCTGCTCCTTCTCCTGCATCAGCAGAGCTCTTTTACAATAACTTTCTTTCGAAAAACAGGCCTGAAAAATGTGCTAAATCTGTGCATGAAGTGATTTTGTTCGCTAACTAGACCTATGAAACCTTTGTGAGAAGCCAGGAATAGGAATGTGGCCTCACCATGTATTGGCTCTTGTCCCCGAAGTGAGCATCCCTCCCAAAGCAAGCCCTCAGTGAGCAGTGCTGCAGGGACATCCTGAGTGGCCGCTCTGCTTTATGCATTGCTCAGGGGAGCTGTGCTACTCCAAGACACACTGCTGCAGGGCTTTAATGAAGTTTGAGATCAGTATCTCTGTCACTGCTTACAGCAAGTAATGAACTGTATCATTACCACTATCAACGTACCTCAGGCCATGTTAATTTGCACTTGGCAACTCATAACATGCACATTATAGTGTGGTTGTGCAGCTCCTTTTGTGTAGATACATTCTGAAGACTGGCATCAGAAATGCAAAAAAATGTGCTAGTACACAACTATATGTATAATCTAACTCTGTTCTTCTATTTATATAAGTTCATCAGACGTGCAAAGAAAACAATGCAATTTAACCTATACAACTGCAGTCACTAGAAATGAGCACAGATAAAGAGATCTCTACCATGCAAAGAGAGAATGATGGCAGAAGATCTTCTCTTTGCAGGGGCTGTGGTTTCCTTGGGACTGGGAGAAGGCTGGGCCTAGGTGCTTTGCTCCTGTTTGCCCTTTTTCTGGATGCTTCAGCCAAAGTTCCTCTTGACTTCAGTAGGAGTTAACCTACAAGCAAGGGGAATGCCCAAGAAAGGTTATGCTTTTAGAAAACATGATAAAACTTGTTGGATGCTTTGGAAAATGTGGCATTTTCACAAATCAGAGTCATCAGACAGAGGTCTGAATTCCTCTGCTTGCTGTCCTACTGCTTTGTCCTGAACTGCCTGTGTTGCTTCTGTAACAATAGCTCTGTCTTTCTCCTATGTATTTCTTGTATAGCAATAATGCCATCTTCTTTTACATTTGCTGCTAGCAGAACTACAAGTCAGCATCCTGTTTGCCTTCTTTATTGCAGCTGCATATGGGGCAGAAGGCTTTAGGGACTTTCATGCAATAATTCCCAAATCTTTTTCCCGTAAGTATACTGCAAGTTCAGCTCACTGAATTCAGAGCATTTCCATCTAGTTCCTACTTTTGTGATTTATTTGTGTTCCATTTCACCTCTCAGTAATGTTCATTTGTCCACTTATGCTCCCAAAGGGTTTAAGTAGTGTGATTTTTTTTGCTTTGTTCACATATGTTTTGCTTCAACTTAACATAAAGCCTACTTCAAAAGCCACCTTCTCCAAACTCCTAGCAGGTGAGGCATATGCAATTTATTTATATAACCAATTATTATGTTATGATGTACATATTTACATACAAATTACCATTCTTATCGTTAAGAGAAAGCACTTGTGTGATTTATGGAAAATCTCTCATACACTCAAGGTGAGTAGTTCTACTGCTGCTGTTCACCACAGTGAAAACAGCACTACAGGGCTATTCTGCTAATTCTGGAAAATATAGTAGAACACCTCTGATTAGCCACTTTTGCCATCTTTGTCAGTCATTGTTTTCTCTCTCTTTTTTCCTCCACACCTATAAATTATTTCCCTTTTTAGGACATAACTGTTAAAGGATACCTGCTGTTTCGGACATGCATTTTATCTATCTTACATATAATTTTGATTACAATTTATATATACATGTATATATATATATATATATATTTTTTTTTTTTTTAATTGAAAAAACATTCAACTGCCTACAGTGGCAGACTTTATAAAAGGCGTTCAGCCAAGCAGTGTTCAGAAAGGTGAACGCCTTTACTCCAAGCGTGTTTCCCAGCAGGGCTTTCCTTCAGACTCTGTCGTCAGGCACATCCCTGCTGTTGCAGGGAGGTTGCAGTGGGTCACAGGGAAAAGTAGAGCAAACATTTCATTTTCAAGTGAACGTTAGGATCTTTCAACCTTTGATGTAATTAGTGCCCATAGCTTAATTATGTCATTGCTACTGCAGCACATAGGATGCAGTAATAAAGCTCCCGTGTAGTCACTATTGCACAAAAAAGACCTGGCTCTCTATGGGGTGAAGCAGACCCCTTACATACTTAGCTAGCCACTACAGTAAATAATCTGCTTGTGGGTTCCAGAGAAGAACTGGGTTTTTCACTGAAAGGAAATAAAGATCGTTTGGAGACGAATGAAGAACTGTTTTTCCACTGAAGTCATCAGATCAGAAAACAAGGAATTAACTGTAAAGATAGTTTACTCTACCAAAAAAAAAAAAAAAAAAAAAAAAGATAACACGGTCTTGTAGAGAGAAGAGGAATGAATAGTACTGTGAACTGATCTGAACCATGGCTCGTTTCTGTAACATTTAGGCTTGAGACAGATGTAGTCTACCAACCTATAAGCTGTCACATGTAGTCGGACTATGCCAAATTCACACCTGCATTTTTCTTCTAGTTGCAAGCAATTGTCATCTACAGGATTATAATACAGAGAAGTTGCCCAAAAAAGTCAGAACGTTCTCCCACCCATCTTTGTTGATTTCACTGGTCTTAATACAAGCTCATAGTTGTAGATATCCTTTCCTCTTGCTTTGTGACCCTAAAACACAATTATTTCTCCTATGATTTCCTGTGATGCCATCCTTGCTCTTGATTTTTTCCTTCCATCTTTCTTCACTTTTTTTTAATTTAATCAATGTTTGTTCTCTTTGATCAATGGGGACATTGTCCTCACTTATCCTATAAAACCACAAAACAAATATCTGAATTCAATACAATGCTCAGGACCATTCTGCCAAGTGGAGACTGTTGTGTTTTCAATTGTCTTTGATGTGTTGTTTATTTTCATAGTTCTTCAGGACAAATCCATGAATAGCTGTTCAGTTATTAATTTAATTTCTCAATTGTCAGAATAATATCATAAATGCAAAAATCTCAAAGTGACCTAGGAACAGGCTTGTAGTGTCATTTGGGTTCCCAGTTCCCTGGATGCCTTGTATTTGTCTTACTGATGTTAACTGTTCATTGCTCCACGTGTTGTAAACTCATCGCATGGCACATAGAACTGTAGTTGTGTTTGTAGCTTTTGTTATTTGGATATATTGTACATTCTATGTGTAGAAGTTAACTCCTTTGATGTGACTGTTTCTTGGCCACTATATTTATTCTGCAATGAAACTGAGTGGCATCCTCTATTGTTTTTTTCAGCCGGTAATATTAAAATAGAGACTCAGAGTGATGAAGAGAATGGGCGTGCCTGTGAAATGAATGGGGAAGAATGTGCGGAGGATTTACGAATGCTTGATACCTCTGGAGACAAAATGAATGGCTCACACAATGGCCCAGGCAGCAAGGCTATGTCAGGAGTTGGAGGCATTCGACTTCCTAACGGAAAGCTAAAATGTGATATCTGTGGGATAATTTGCATCGGTCCCAATGTGCTCATGGTTCACAAACGAAGCCACACTGGTAAGGCCTGGCATAGTTTTTTCTTTAGTTGACAAGAGTCGGACGCATATTAGGATCTAAGTCTTCTTTTCTGACTATCATGCACATGTTCCCTCTTGTAAGACAATGCAGCATCGGTGGGCATTTGGAACTTGGTTGTTTTGTTATTGCATTTTGGACAGCACAGAAATTGAAATTTCTCCTTGATGAAATTCCAGCTATTGGGTTAGAAATTGGGAAAAACAAACAAACAGGCAAACCACAGTTTGCCAGAGTAATAGAAAATAGGCACAATTTCATTTATTCCAGTCAACAGTTGTACATTATGCTGATACCAAAATTCATGCCTGAACGAATGTGTAGTTTGGCTTGAAGCTACATGAAAATTTCAAGTTTCAAAAAAACACAAACTCTTGTTTAATTGCTAGTTCATTATGGATCAGAGATTATAAAAGTGATTGGAAAAATGAATAAGTAACTTAAAGTTTTAAGGGAATTGTAGCATTAGGAAATAAGGGGTTAGTTTTATGTCAAGCGTTCCATAAAGTAAAAGCAAGCATTGTCACTGGTTAGATTTGGACTAAAAGGTTTCCACTGGGTTGCTAAAAGAGACATGCAAAGAGGTTGTGCTCCGTGGTGATGGCTTTTCATTGTCAAAGTACTGTGAATCTTGCCTCAATTTTCCAATTCTAAATAGTTTCAAAGATCACAAAATATGAAGAGGCTGAAACAAATGAAGACCAGGGTGACTCTCGTCTTACCTGAGTTTAGCTATTTAAAAATTTGGGTTCTAATCTAAATTCTGAGGACATCTACAGCTAAAAGAGAAGAGCTGAACTGTACTGTTATGATGTAAAAGTTACTTTGAAAACAAATATTCAGCAGTTTTGTGTATTCAGATGGCAGGAAAGAACAGATATCTCTATTGGGAAAGCCGTATCTAGTTCCTAGAAGAGGGCTGCAACATACCTCCTAGATATAACAAAAATGCTCTCTTAACATTGAATTTCAGTGGGATCCTTTGAAAGTTGACAAAATGTGTATGGAAAATGACTTGAACCTGAGGCCTTTCAAACAGACCTGCTATATTTTTGGTACAGTTTTGTAGTAGTTTAAATAAAATGTTGCAAAGCAGTTGTGAGGCAGAAGGCTTTGTATCTGCTCAAGGCAAAGTAAGTTCTGGAGGAACGGAGGAGCAGGTCTATTCAGTGCAGGCAGAGCAGAAAATCAGTTCATAGCTTGATAAAAAGATGACAAAATGAGAACAACAAACAGATGAACAGCATATATTATGTGTAGACACGTGTACATATGCGGAAATGGGAATGGGAAAAAAAAGGCCAAACTGCACTTATCCCGGTAGTGAAAACCTGAAGGAAAGCATGTTCTGTGATGTCGTGATGGTCAGCAAGAATGTTTGTCCACAAAGTATTCTGAACAGGTTATCCTTTGGGTGACAGCAAGTACCTCTGAGTGATGTGCAGTGCTGCTAGCTGAGCAGCACAGCCATGGCTAGCACTCTGCCTGCTGTAGCTGAGGAGCAGCTTCTTGGGGCTCCCAAACACCAGACACCATGTTTCACCAAGGCTGAGCAGCTTCAACAAGAGATGGTTTTACACCAAGGCTGAGCAGCCTCAGCCTATTTTTTGCACATTGTGGCAGACGTGTCTCAGTGGGATGATCCAGGTTGCCTTCCCCCTGCCAGCCTCTCCAGGGGACCTGTCCTTGCTCCTGAAACAAGACTTCAGCTTCCAAAGCACCATGCCTGGCCCAGCAATCCATGCATGTGCCATATGGCCCAGGCAGTGCCTTGCAGGCCCTACCAGCCTGTAAGTGTGGGGCCACTGGATCGTCTCGACCCCATGCAGCACCCGTCCCTTGCCAATAGGATCCTCTTAGTCAGGAAATGTGGTTAAAACCCAGAGAGCAAACACCTCTTTGTTCAACAGCACCTCCTTCTTTTATCAGCAATTAAGCTAAGGGTTATGAAGTTGAATCCCTGAATCTTTCCATGGCAATAAAGCCTTTTCCTTCACTCCCGCCTCGCTCTCAGGCTGTACTGCAAGCAGCTCTGAGAGGATCTATGCTTTTGAAGGAAGCGGAGGCTCAGAGCTGGCAGTTTAAATTAAAGGGACATCATGAGGTGACTGCTTTTCCTTTCAGTTGTGCTGAGAAAATTAATGTAGAAATGGGATACACTATTGCAGACACTTAACTGTCTACTCTGAAGCCCATTTCAATACATGCCTGATGAAGGAATAAGCCTCACAAATGAATTACTTTGCTGCTAATTCATGTAAAACCTGCATATGCAGTGAGGCTTCCTTAAATAAATATTTGATAAGTGAACAAAACTCTAGCACACTGAAGTGCCAAAATAAAATGACTGCCTGACCTGATAAAAGCCATAATTACTTTTAATGAATACACCTGCCAAGTGCAGATATGCAGAGCAGCACCTGATATGTCTGCCCCTTCTCCCTGCCAGCAGCTGGAAGATGCTGGCTGCTTCCCAAGGCCTGACCTGTTGCTCCCAGCTGCAGGGCACACCCTGCTCACACACGTCCAACTCCATTGCTCATCTGGCCCAACTCTTCAATGTGCATGTTCCCCGGCCTGATGCTGCTTCTGCGATAAGTGTTTAGGGAAAAGGAGAGAGAAAACCCTTCCAGCCTCCTCCCATCACCTCAGCCTGTACCATATGTGTCATCTGTGTGCCTACTTGGACATATTTGTGTGTGCATATGTATCACAGAATCACAAAATCACAGAATTGTAGGGGTTGGAAGGGACCTCCAGAGATCATCGAGTCCAACCCCCGTATATGTATGTATATTCCATCTTCATACACACACTCCTGTGGCATGAGTCACCAGTTAGTTCAGTTATGTCTTATTAGCTGGATCTGAATGTCTCAAATGTATTTAGAAAGTGAAAGCCCCCTGAAGAATCGGTGTTTCTGAGCATTTGAGGAAGGAGGGCTATATGCAACTCTGAATGATTTTGCCATTATGATGCTTAAGAAATGAGATAGATTTCAATCAAGATGAGAAGTATTCTTCACTGAATAAGCAGTCCAGAGTTTCACTAAAGCTTGCAACCAACACATTGGTGGCTGATTCAGCTCTGGGCTCCATTTTCATTTTTGCTCAAGGGGCAAAATTTGGGCCCCTCTCCCTCCATAGCTGCATGTCCAGATGTGAAATCCACCAAATGCAGATAAAGTGCTGTTCAGCAGGGCAAGAAAATAGCACACAAAGCTGGCAGGAGATGCATTATGCATTGTTAACTTCGTCCTCTCCCTTCCTCATTCTGGGATATCTCTACAACCAGTCGCCTTCCATCAAAGACTGGCTGGGAGCTCAGCTCCATGTAGTTTCAGAGAATTTCAGTGAGGATGCTGTTTCACAGCAGCACAAGTCTAGGATCCCCTACATTTCATTCCATTTTGAAGAAAAGCTTGGTATGCAGCAGTCTCACCCAACGTGCTCCATCTGCCTGTCTTCTCCACCCACAGTGTGAGATTTGTCCTGTAATTAAGAGAGCTGTATGCTGGACATATATTTCATTCTTACTTCAGGCACATCTCCTGGAGTACTTCTGTGATCCTTGTTCTCTCCTCTTAACACTTCTCTGATATTATTTTCTATTAAAAATAAAAGAAATGAATGGTAGAAAGAGTTGCCTAGTAAGAATTAGCCATTGCTTCTGAACGTGTCCCTCATTTCAAATTGTCTTCTTGATTTCTGTTTGGTCATGTTCTGAAAAATATCTGCCACACCGAGTAACTGCTGAGAGGTGGAGCACACCCTTACCCATTTTCATTTTTCCCTAACTTCTGTACATGGCTTATTAAGTATAGAGAACATACCTGCAGGCCGCTCCAGATGAACCAACTGTGAATGTCATTTAGATGAATCCATTTACCTGCTGGACAAAGCCAGTGACCTCATTGGGCTGGACAAGGAATGGGGCTGTTTGACTAGTGAAAGTATTTTGCCATAAAGAAGGCTAATCTCTCTGTTGGCTGCTTGCTAAAATTGCCAGCCCTGATCATAATTGGTAGCTGTTTGTGTTGGGACTGTGCTGCTATCTAATTGCTTTCCAGCTTTTCTTTTCTGTTATCCAAAAGTAAAGAGCTGTCATGCTGCACGTGTATGGGCATAATGGTAGATCCTAGATGTCCAGAATAAAACATGATGGTTAAGTGAGACAGAAGGAAGGAACTGTTTAACTTGTATTTATTTTGTGCATAGTTTGACTTCAGCACTGAAATTTTATAGTCAGTATTATTGCTGTATTTTTAAAAAATGACATGTCATCTCTCAGCTTTTTCTAATATCATTGATGAATTATAATTTCTAAAGCTAATTACATTTATGCCAAAGAAAAATAGAATTCAGCAAATGATTTTCTAAGGCTGGTTTTACTCAGGCAAAGACTACATCATAAGAGAAGTGGGCATGCAAGAGCAGATCCTAGTAATGGAGTGCTCTCATGTTTAAATTTTCCTGTATTGCTGTCCTGTACTGCTGGAAACATAAGAGACTGTATTTCCCGCTGACTTAAGGCCTTGTCTAGCTGAAATCAACTGTCAAAAGCCAAGGGAATAAAATCACTCTAAAACAGCATTAAAAAGCAAACAGCAGCCATGTAATTTTTTTTGCAAAGGCAACCTATTTTGCAGGCACCCATTTAGACAAATCAAGTCTGTGACTACGCATTTTTCCCTGTGCCTTTCCCAGGCATGGCCTAGGAGAGCCCACTTCTACGACTTCTCTGCCAAAAGAGAAGCTGGGAGTCTCGTGTGGAAGTGCAGGGCTTTTTCTGCACTGTTTCAACTTACGTGATTTTACTCTCTCTCTTTCTCTCTCTCTGTCTCTTTCCTGATTTGGCTGCTTAGGGACAGACAGGTAATGGAGAAGAAATTGAAAGGGAAAATACAGGGAAAATGTAAATGAAAAGAAGTTATTATAACTGTTATAATGAAGTGCCTTTCATTTAAATATAAGAATGTAACGCTGAAATGAACTTGTGATCCTGAAATGCATTTTTAATGAGTTTCCTTTTTATTTTGCTGCTTCAGTGGCATATTTTAAAGACCCTTTGAAAAAAGCCACATTAAAAACCCCACCAAATGCCACAACATGCAAAATTGGATATTGGTTTATTCCAAAACTGCTGATCAGGAAGAGTGGCTCTTCAACACAAAATGTTGCAGTCACTTTATTTAAATGAGTTTGAATTTGCATTGTGATGTGCCATTCTGATTTAGAAAAAAAAAAATTAGATTTTCAGATCAAATTGACCCAGCCAGTGAAGCATTAAGAAACTGGCAGGTTTAGTCTGAAAGCCTCATGTTATATCAAACCTGCAGCCGGTGGAAGTCACAGAGCAGCAGGGAGAAAACAACTTTTTTTCACTGAAATCTTTCTCTTGTTCCTGCGCAAGATTTTTTGTTCTCACACATTTCCTCCTTCTCCCCTCAGGAGAACGCCCCTTCCAGTGCAATCAGTGCGGAGCCTCCTTTACGCAGAAGGGCAACCTCCTGCGCCACATCAAGTTGCACTCGGGTGAAAAGCCCTTCAAATGCCACCTCTGTAACTACGCCTGTCGGCGCAGGGATGCCCTCACAGGCCACCTGCGGACTCACTCGGGTAAGTGAGGGTATGGGCTTGCCTTACGGTGCTCCTGAACCACAGAGTGTGTATGGGGGTGTTGATGGCCCCAGTCATAGAATCATAGAATTGCTCAGGTTGGAAAAGACCTTAAAGATCATCGAGTCCAACCACGACCTAACCATACTACCCTAATGCTAACAACCCTCTGCTAAATCACGTCCCTGAGCACCACATCCAAACGGTTTTTAAACACATCCAGAGATGGTGACTCAACCACCTCCTTGGGGAGTCTATTCCAGTGCTTAGCCACCCTTTCTGCAAAGAAGTTTTTCCTGATGAATTGTGAGAGGTCTTCTTACGCAGGGAAGGTCAGTGGTTGTGCGTCAGCATCAGCCAAGCAGCGAGCCAGCTGCACTGCTGTAGCTGCACAGAAATGACTGAACTCTGCTTGCAGTCATGGTCCTTCCCCAGAAATGTTTTTTTCTCATAATTCTTGGCCAATTAGAAATTTCTGTATTAGGGTTTCATCTCACACTGCATGTGAGTAATCCATTTCATGGAACGACTAATTCAAAGCTGCTGAAATTTTACGGTTTGGATGACATTTGTCTGCATACACAGATAACAAAGGGTCTGAACACAGTGGGCTTCAAGTCATGAAGTCTCAAAAACATTCCGTCTGGTAGTCATTACTGGTGTAAGGGGTGAACAACCTACTACACCTACAACATTTAGCAGCAGTTATTTGTTGCACTTGGTTATTATATATATTATATATCTTTGGTTATTACAAAAACATTGAAAGAAGAAGGGGGAGAAAGAGGGAGAAGGAGAGAGATAAGAATCTTCCAGAAAAGAGGACTCCGCTAGAAATTTTTAGTGTTTCTCTTAACAGTAACAGTAAGATCTGAATAGATATTCTTCGAATAGATGCATTTTTCCAATATTATTAACCTCGGTGTTTAACAAAAGCCATAGTCACATACTTCCATGAAGCAAAACCAACCCAGCAACAATAAATCACATTAAAAAGAAGAGTGTAGTCTCACCTAGTTTCCCAAGCTAGGATAGGAGACCTCCAAGAAGCATGGCTGTAACTGACACTAGCAAATTTACATGTGAAAGTTGGCTTTAGAGCTGTAGTTTCGAGCTGTGTAAGGGAAGCTCTCAAAGCAGAATTTCTGTGTTATACAAAACTAAGGAAAATCTTCTAGCACACATTAAATGATAGGAACCCAATGGTTGCTTCCAGATATCCAAAATAGTTTCTGCTTGTTCTGTGCAGTTTCATCCTGAGTCAGGAAAAGTACATGTTTAAATTTTCTAATTTGCCTCCCTCCCCCTTCCTGATTTTAGTGACTGTGCACTTTTAATCCTTTCATATATACACTACACCTTAACTCTTTCAGCAAATGCTTAGGATTCCACAGCAAAAAGACAAAGCATAAAATGAAGATATTTATTGGTTCCCGTCATTAGCAAATTGACACAAATACATTAAAAAACAAATTTGATGCCTGAGTCTGATTTCCACCTAAGAATTTGTATACAAAATTCAAAAGCTTAGCTGCGTAACCATCTAAAGCCATGACAGATTTTTCAAGCTAAGACAGAAAATACAGGCCCCAAGGTCCACATGACTATGAAATTCCTGGAATTGCTTGAATCTGGATGGGTGAAAAACAGAACATTTTTTTTTATGCCCTTTGTTTGAATTTCCCGGAGTAGAGAGCAAGAAAACATGTGAAATCTAACATTGTTCTAAAAGAGCTGAGCTGATTCTTGTTCCAGCAGAACTGACATCCAGTCATGGGCAGGTGCGTGCCCACAAAAACAGTGCTCATTGCAGGTCTTCCTCATGCACAGCCTCTATTGGAACCAGGCTTTAAATTAACTTTACTCAGATCTTTGAAAGTGTCTCAGTTTCTAACTTTTGTAGATGTCATTTGTGAAGATTCACTGTTACAGTCCTTATCTGATGTGAATAATCTGAAATAAGTTTGCAGCACCCACAGCACTGGCCTGCTGATGCAAAGATGTGCAGCTAGTTTTCCATTATTATTCTTAAATACGGAAAAAATAATTATCCATTTCAGTTAATGAGATACTTTTGCAGTACTTTTGTGCTTTTTTTTTTTTTCCTGTTATTCTTACCGTTATTAATATGGTGTTGCATCCCTCATGTGAATATCTCATTTTGTTTTCTCCAGTTGGCAAACCCCATAAGTGTGGATACTGTGGTCGCAGCTATAAGCAGCGCAGCTCTTTGGAAGAACATAAAGAACGCTGTCATAACTACCTGCAAACCATGAGTATCTCAAGCAACCTTTATTCAGGTAATAAAAGTACCCATTTGGGGATTAGCACTGTTCAGTCATGTACTCAGAAAAAGGATTTCAGAAGGAACAGCTGTACCACTTGTGGCATCTTTTCTGTTGGAGAGGCAGAGTGTGATGCATATACACACATATCACCATCTGTGTGATACTGCATCTGGATTTATTCTATATTTGATAAATGTTCGGCTTTTCTCATTTTGTTCAGCACAAATAAAAAGCCAAAGTGAAAGTCAGGTACCTAATAAACATTTGCCAGACCTGGAATATTTCAGTTCGCTATCTCAATACCAAACATAATTTCATCACTTCTTGGTTTTGCTTGGAGTCCTGTTTTGTCAGTACTCTTGTGGATGTGTTCTTAATGAGTTAGTATTAGTGGTTTAGGTATGGCTCCAGAATCTCCCGCAGTGCTTATCTCCTGCCCATCCCAGGTACAGCTTGATGGGCTTACTTGACCTCTGTCACCAATGCGTACATCAAGAATGAATCATATCTGTCATTGATCATCTGTCATATCTGTCTTTGATTTGACTCTTCCAAACAAGAGTGCAGGAAGCCAGAGGGATTTAACTTAGCCCGTCTGAGTCCAGAAAGGATAACAATTTATTAGCAGCCTTCTTTTAAAACTTTTCCATTTCCATCCAATTTTAAAAGAAACTCTTGTACTTCTCTCTCAGTCTTACCATGAAGCCCATCTCTTAGTGAGCACAGAGTATATAAAACTATACTCAGAAATAGAATAAAAAGATGTTGGGGATTGGATTATTTTAACAAAGATACTAAAGATCTGTACAAGATTGATGGCAGAAAGAAGTCACATGCAATTTTAAATAGAGAATATAAAACTCAGCATCCGTGGTGGAGCTTCAGGTTATAGCCTATCGAGTAAGTTACATTTCTTGCACACCTTTTTCATCTCATCAGCATATATTATTCAGTTTGTCAAATGACAAAATGGAAGGTTCCCTCTGACTTTGAAATGATGCCTCATTTAATACCTTATATCTGGACAGAACCTGAATATGTTTTTACATGCTATCAAATAATGTAAAGTATATGCACATAATGATAACAGCAAATGCAGCTGAGATACTTCTGGGAGACAGCATATTAGAGCAGTGTTCCTTCTAATTTTGTTGAGGGGCTGGAGCATGTATAAATAGAAAAGCTCAAAGTAATAATACACAGTAGGCAGAATACTTAACCACAAAGAAGTGATAGGATTTAAAAGGAAATTTTCTTCCTTAAGATTCACATTTTTTGTATCTGGCATTGGATTTGAAATGCTGGCATGCAACACGTGAAAATCGACATGAATGAAAAGCTGCACTAATATTAAATACTTAAGTAAAAATGTGCATATGAAACTGATGTGTGGAATCAGAAACTATAATGAAAAACAGTATCATTTCAGAGATAAGTAGATGTTTTTTATATAGCAAATCACAACAGAAAAGATTTTTCAGTAATTTAGGACTGAATATCAGATATCTCATTGGGATGAATACTTGGGGTATTGATAGACACTTTGGAAAGATGCTTTCCTACCACATTCTGAAAGCATCACAAAAATCCATCTTAGATATAATAGGGGTACTCTTGCAATTTAGAAGAAAAGTACAGGATTAACTTCTGGCTTTCGCCCTTGTGTTCTCCCATAGATTTCACTCTTAACAATTGAATTAAAATTATTAGCACTCACTCAGATAATAAATCAGTTCTTTATTTTTCCAAACTTAAAACTTTCCAGTACTTTTCCCAGTATTTTTCATTATAAAAAAGTTCTTTTATCTCACTGCGAACAGGGTAGTCCTGGGTATACTTTGCAGTCTTTACATTTTTTCCGTTATAAACTCAAGGTTGAAAACATGCATTGAAACAGTTCAGAATGAGCGCCTGTCCTCCTGGGATTTTTCATACATTCTTCTTTATAAATAGAAAATGAAGCAGTTATATTATCAATGTTCTACTGGTATGTCAGGGCATGATATGGAGCTCTTAAAGCCTTTTCTTTTTTGCATAATCAAAAATATCTTCTAAGGCATCTGATTTGATACTCTGCTACAGATGACTTTTAACAGCATTTTTTAAATACGTCATGCAGAAAAAATAAGTCAGTTGAAAAGATCTAAACTAATAAAAGCTTTCCATCAACTTGTAAATCTTATAAATGCTATCGGCAAATCATTTGTGCAAGGGAAAGATCCAGCAAAAAGGAGTAAGTAGGGTGGCAAGAAATTGTATTTATATTTTAATAGTTTTTTGCTTTGTTTAAAAGAAAGAGTGTCAGCATGAAATTAGGAATATTCTGAATCTAATGGCAAAATTCTTACTTTAGAGGACTGGAATTTCACTGGTCATGTGAAGTTCTTCTGTTAGAGATATTAACTGGATTTTTGCAGTTGAGTTGAGTGGAAGCATGCAGAAATCTTATCAGGCCTATGTAAAAACACAGAATCATAGAATGGCTTGGTTTGGAAGACACTCCAGAAACCATCACATTCTAATCCCTGTGCCATTAGCAGGGCTGCTGCCCACCAGTTCAGCTGCCCAGGGCCCCATCCAACCTTCCCTAGAGCACCTCGAAGGATGGGGCACCACAGCTCCTCTGGGCAGCTGTGCCACTTTCACAGTAAAGAATTTCCACATCTTATCTATTCTAAACCTGACCTCTTTTAGTTTAAAGTGATTCCCCATTGCCCTGTCACTACACTCTCTGATAAAGGGTCCCTTTCCAGATCTATTGTGAGCTCCTTTTAGGTTTGGAAGGCTGCAGTGAATTCTCCCCACAGCCTTCTCTTCTTCAGGCTGAACAAGCGCAGCTCCCTCAACCTCTCTTCACAGGAGAGGTTCACCAACCCTCTGACCATCTTTGTGTTTCTCCTCTGGACTCAATCCACTTGTAGATTTTCACTTGGAAAGATAATTTTTGATTTTCACAGGCAGCAAACAATAGCAAAATATTTATCAGATTGCAGAGAAATTTCCCGGGGGTTCAGTTGCAAAGGCTGGAAATCAGTGTTTAATTCAACTTTATCTATCTATCTATCGATGTATCTATCTATCTATCTATCTATCTATCTATCTATCCATCTATCTATTTATTTAATGTCTAAGTTTTAAAAATTATAATATGGAAAGATTGAGTGAAATTGAAGACATAATTTACACACTCTCAAAATATCAAAAGTGGACTCTTGTAATATCTAAATATTATAAATAATACACACATTTCTCAATTCTGTCATCTTTATAACTACATAGGTCACTCTTAAAGTAATATGTTCTATTTATTTGCATGGAAAATACAACAAAGAGTGCAACACCATTTGATAGAACAAATTATCAGCTACATAACACCACTAATCTATTTAGTCAACACCATTAGCTATTTATTTTTGCCAGCCATGGACAAGTGCCTTCATGCTACCTCATAAAATTGTGCACTAGAAGAGATGACCCACTGTCACCATGGCCACAGCTGAAATGCACCACCCACCACCTCACGGTGCTCACATCCACTGTTTGTTCTCCCTAAACATTCAGCAAGCATCCATGAATGTCAGTGTGTGCCATTTTTTCCACCTCAAGGAACTCACTGCTTGTAATTCGTATGCGCCTCCATGTCATACACAATTTGTCAGACTGCCCCTCTCTGCCATCTGTCACATGGAAATAAAATGGACTGGAATATTGGTGGGAACATCCAACCTCTACTGCCATACCACCACCATCTGCCTCTGACGTTGTAGAACATTGTAATAAAACAGGAGGCATTACTTTGAGATCTTTTTTTTTGTTTGTTTCCTCTGCTAAACTGTCTGCTTTAAGCATTCTCTGTAAGATCCTTCAGAGTTGTACTTACAAGCATTGGCCAGCCCAAGAAGCTAGCACATGCTGGTGACTAGATACCATCAATGCCCTCCAGTATCCTGCATCCTCACAACAAAATTCTGATCTGTCAGTCACAATCTTATTGCATCTTTATGGCATCATTATATGTCTCTGTAATATGTTCTGCTGCACCAGCAAATCAAGAACCACTTATATGCTCTTCTACTTGGTAACATGTCATCTTGGACACTTTACTTGCTTTTTCCAATTATGCAGTAGAGCCTGACATTGCATATTTCAGAGGCAATGAAACTTCCACACTCTTGCTTCTATGGCAGTGCTGTGTTGCCAAAATAACACTGCATTTTCCTGAATATTAAAAAGCACCCAGGCACCAGAGTAATGGGTCCTGTGAACCTTTCTCAGAGCTAAGTAGAATAAATCCCAGTGATGAAGTCTCAGCAAGCAGAAAAGGTGAAAGGTAGCAGAGTGCTGCACCTATTTGAAAAAGCATGCAGAATCCAAGTCTAAAGTATTTTGCTTCTCCCTTTAATTCTGACTCACAACTTCAGGAAAAAAGAAATATCCCAGTAGCAGATAAAAATAAAATTAACCCTTTTCCTACTTTTCTGGAGAAATAAGAAATAAGAAAAAAGAAAAGCTGAGATCTCATTCTGTATTGTGTTTTCCTTGGATGCTGGAAGACAGAAACAACACCTTTGCATATATTTTTTATACCCTTTATTTTGAAAGTTTCCTCATAAAAACACTGAAGAGAAAGGTAGCTAAAGTGAAATAGTCTCCCTGTTCTAGAGCTGCACAGCTAAGCTCCTTCCTAATCCTGCAGTGTCTTTAGCCACTGCACAAGGCTGGAAAACAGGCCTGACTATCAGACATCGATGCTCCACTGTAGATGTAGCCTTACTGATTTAGCTAAAATTGTGACTTACATTCAAAAATTGCATCAGAGAAGTATAATGATAGATACGGGGTGAAAGGAAGATGTATGTTTGGGGGATGTTGGTGTAGTTTGCAACTATGTTTTCCACTACTGGAGTTGAGAAATTTGTCCATTATTCCTGCTAAAGAAGCAACAATCACATAGGCTGTGACAGGTGGGGTGACAGCAATAGGATGAAAAGATGAACTGCTTCATATCCATTATAAATCTATTATTATTATTCAGTTCTATGATTCTATGCAGAGGGCTGTTAGGGTAGTATGGTTAGATTGCAGTTGGACTTGATGATCTTTAAGGTCTTTTCCAACCCGAGCAATTCTGTGCTTCTAGGATAATATTAGGACCTCATTCACCTGTGGCCATGCAGACTGGGTGTAGAACAAGGGTGGAATGATTATGCTACATACAAGCAGATGCCTTGTAATTACAGTCTCTTTTCTGTATCCTAAATGAGGTTGAAGGAAACATGAACATGTGTATAGATGAGTCAGTGTAAGGGGATTTGTTACGAAGAGTGAGAATGGACCTCTGCCTGCAGTGGTGAGCTCCTTGTTCCAACTGGTTAAGAGCTTAAAGACATTAGCTAAGAAACACTAAACTGAAGACAGTGGTTCCATTAAAATGGAACAAGTGTGCCTAATCCTTCTGATGTCATTTGATTTCAGTCATAAAAGAGGAAACTAACCAGAGTGAAATGGCTGAAGACCTGTGCAAGATAGGGTCAGAAAGATCCCTCGTGCTGGATAGACTAGCAAGTAACGTCGCCAAACGTAAGAGCTCTATGCCTCAGAAATTTGTTGGTAAGAGTTAAAAGTTTGCTGTCTCCTAAAAAATAAAACAAAATTAAAAAACAAACAAACAAACAAACAACAAAACCCTCACAAGATTTTCACTTTTGCTTTATGATTTTGTTTTACTAAATTAGCAATATTTATCTGTATACCAGCAGATATGGCAAAATGTTGGGGGAAAAAAAACCAAAACACTACCAAACTTCTAAATTATATATTTCTACAGGTTTAATTTTACACATCTGGAGATCTATTTTAAGTCTCCTAATCTGCTTCTTAATGCTTATGAACCAGATCTTCCCAAAATCAACACAGGTTCCTGAAGCTGCCTTGAGAACCTGAAAATGGTCTAAGAAATAGAATTTCCTACTGGGAAAGTATTTGACCATACTTTCATGATTATTTTATTAACTTCTTAAATGATCTCCAGATCAGGGCATATTGGTATATGTGGATTAATTTGTGAATTGTTCAACCTTTAAAAAGTCTGTACAATTTTATGGCCCAAAATGATAATGAAAATAAATGTATATAGTTCTGAGAATACCTAAACGAAAATATGTTTGTGTATATTCTAAGAGTAGTGCAAAAATGTCATGGCCATTTGCACCTAGTAGTTGTGTTAACAGTGAAAACGTGGAGGCTACACCTGTTTTATTCTTATAAGCCTTGTAGCAATTAATGGTTAGATCAGGTCTTTAACAGTCAAACCCACAGACAATATCAGCCATGCTGGGTTAGTATTAAATGAATAACAAGATGGGGGATCAGACAACAGCATACACTCTTTTGATTTACTTGCAGATCTACTTTTGATTTTCTTGTAATTTTCTGGACATTTATATATAATGTTCTTCTGTAGTAGACAGAGAAAACTGAAGTCTTTGGGAAAAAAAAAAAAAAACGTTAAGGTCTTCAGTCAAAAGTCAAGGCCTAGTCAAGTCAAAGCTAGACAAGTTTATGGGACAGAAATTCAAAATCTACATCCTTCAAAGAGGACACAAGGATAAATGGAAACTTAGTTTTTCCGAGACAAGAGAAGGAGAATTTCAGCTATGGCTGGAACAAAAAATAGCAGTGGAAGGCCAGCATGTCCAAAATCAACTTTGTAGGAGGTGGTCAAGGATAAGAAATGATTATGCTTACATAGGGAAGGACAAATGAAGTAGCAGAGGTAGTTACCAAAATTATATCCACTGTGTGCGGCAAACCAGATTCGTTCAGACACCCTCATTGCTGATTGTATTAGGCAAAAATACTAATCCTGTGAAAGCTCCAGGAAGACCAGAAGTGTTAAAATTTCAAAGGTATTAGCAAGAATCCTACGTGCAATATATCAGTGGGTGTGGACTGTTTCTTTCATTCTCTTTTTCCCTCTTCACCCTGAGAAACAGTAAAGACAGCCAGTTTAACTATGAGTCTTAAGAGAGCAGTTTCCTGTCAGTTCGTTATTCACGGTGCAATGCAGGAAGACAACATGCTGACAGTAGATACTTAGGGAAAATTGCTAATCTTGACAAGGATGAACTTTTTTAGCAAGAAAATGCCCCCCAATCTTTTCCTTTCCAATCCTCACCTACTGCCTCACGTAATAGGTAAATTCCTGATTAACACAAGGTTGGGCTATCTGGTTAGGGTAATAAAACATGTTTATTGCTCCTGTAGATTACTATGTCATCTCAATCTCCATGCTGAATCCCAGGATTCCCAAATGGAATTATATTTGCCTAAGAGAAAGATTGTCTGCTGTTTCACTCATTGTTCTAAATGTTCTAAAAACTAAATCCATTACCTTTCAAATGTGAGATTATTCACCACATTAAACTAGTTATCTGTAAAATTCTTTGACAGCAAAAGTCTGCATGAAGTCCTCTATGTTTTCTAAACTGGAATAACTCCAGACCTGAAAACAGAACAGGGCCTTCCATACTAGGGAATCAGAACTACAAGTGAGATGCACACGTTTATCATGTTTGTAACAATAAGCAGCAAAGGAAACCAAGGAGAGGAAAAATAAATAAATAAACAAATAGAGAAAAGCCTGCATTCACTGGATGCATATGTGTTACTATTTAAATACTTGCTACAGAAACCTGAAAAGTGCAAAGCTTGAAGTGCATCAAACCATTAGCGGTTTAATTTACTTATGCTCTAATAACCACAGAAATGAGTTATTATTTTTAATGAGTGCCAGTATTATCTGCATTACCCAGATGTAGAAATGATACCTGCCTGCCTCAAGTTTGGGTATTTTCAGACAGCTCTGATCATATATTTCTTATGGGCACTTGATCCTGTCAGTGCAACTACCAACTAGTTATGCTACATAAAGCAAATACTACCCAAGGAACTGCTATTAAAATTATATCTTCCAGATCCCAAAATTTTGTGTATAATAAAAACCAGTTCAGCTTTTCAGTGGTACACAGTGTAAATGGAATACAAATGATTTTGACTTTCTTTCTTTCCCTATGAATTAAGGGTATATGTTCACATTAGGAGATTTTTTCTATGTATCATTCAAGGGTCTTTCACATCTCCTATTCTGAATCTTAGGAGTCAAAAACTGCCTGAGAACTGTAGCATTAGAATGGGTAAATCTGATATACATGCATATATATATGCACCACATTAGTGGGGTGCTCAAGTTGGCAAAATGATGGGGTAAGGAAACAAAAAGAAGCAGGAGTTTGTGCAGTACAATTAGAAAGTGTCTGTACATCCCTCATAGGAACTTATGCAATGCCAGCAGTATTTCTTTCTCTGCTTACATAGCATGCACAAACCAGTACGAAACCGTGTATCGTGGGAAATGCTGACAGTAGGACTTTCTACAGTTGAGGCCCATTATTGCAAGAAGTTTTCTAGGCTATACTCTTGTTCTTCACTGACTTTCCCTGTTCAAGATGAATAGAAACTGGGTGGGAAATCACTGAGAAATTAATCTATGGATCTTCTGGTAATTTTTCCATGTTCTTAGTAATGTTTATTTTAGTCAAATTAGGATACATTTGATGATGCCATTTATATTTTGGGAGCTTCAGGAAAAAGGAGGGGAAAATCTAAGGTCTTCAAGCAAATGCTGTGTTGATCAGGAAACGGTGACAGCACTACAGACCTCACAGAGATGTTTGTGGCTTTCACTGAATTTCCCAAGACTTCTTACAGAGTGAGGAAAGACATCCAGACTGTAGCTAATGTGGTACTGGTAGTTCCTAGGAATCTATGGGATTTTTTCATTTCTCTGTTGTTGCCCACATTTATTATGGGCCTCATAATGCTGATGGTTTAAAGCAGTGTTTGAGAAAACTGTTCATGTTCATAAAATCAGTGCCCACGACCTAATAGTTTTTCTCACTCCTAACTTTCTACTCTATGCTTTTTTTAATCCTATTCATCCAGGAATTTTGAGAGATTGTCATATTCAGTACTCCAAGTGGGGCTATCCAGAAAGCAATACATCAGTGTAATCCAATTTAAAAAAAAAAAAAAAAAAAAAAAAAACAAAAAAAACTCTCCCATAGCTTTGTCTTCCCAAATCAGAATCAGTAACAAGTAATCGTGCTCTTCCCCTGCCTTTCTATGTCATGGGAAAAATGTCTTCCAACTATGAATGCACTTACACATTTTCCTTAGTTCTTTTTTCTTGTACACTATAATTTTTTTCAAGGAGAATCTGGAGCTTCCCTAAATGTGTCTAATGTATGGCTTGTTTAAAAAAACAGGTGTGGGGGGAAGGTTGCAATACTGAAAATTTAATTTTTATTTGTTTCTGTGGGAAATTACATATGAGAACATTAATGATATGGGTTGTTTGTAAGAAATTGAATATTTAAAACACACATTTTCTACTCTAAAATCTTAACATTTTGGAAAAAAAAATGATGATGTCCTTCATGCAGTGAAACATAAAGTCCAGGCTCCCTGTAACTGTGCTGGTACACTTAGCCACAGAGGCATGCCCCAGTCCACTGCTGGAGTCAGATGAGGGAGTCCAGTTAGAAAGGAGAGGATGAAACACTCAATCTACAGCTCCCACAAGTCCCCATGTATCTGCCTTCTCCTACTTGCTTTTCCAGAAACCTCAGATTATTTTTGCAGGTTAAAAAACGAACCAGTTTTCTGACCAGCTGTATTAGAAAACTGTGAGTACTATAGGTGAATTTCAAAGGTGGATTCGATCAACTCTTGTATTTCATGTTGGGGTTTTTTTTGGCTTGTTTTGTTTTTTTAAAACATGGCATTCGTTTCCTTAATTGTGTAGAAATCAGTTGTCTAACTCCTGACTGTTTTTCACTGCAGGTGAGAAGTGTCTGTCTGATCTTCCATATGATGCCACCACCAACTATGAGAAGGAGAACGAGATAATGCAGACCCACGTCATAGACCAGGCCATTAACAATGCCATCAGTTACCTGGGGGCAGAGTCCTTGCGTCCCCTTGTCCAGACTCCTCCGGTTGGTTCTGAAGTGGTGCCCGTCATCAACCCCATGTATCAGCTCCACAAACCTCTTGGGGACAGTCAGACTCGCTCCAACCATACAGCTCAGGACAGCGCAGTGGAAAACTTGTTGCTGCTCTCCAAACCTAAATCAGTCTCCTCTGAACGGGATGCCTCTCCCAGCAACAGCTGCCAAGACTCAACAGATACGGAGAGCAATAATGAGGAGCGCAGTGGTTTAATTTACTTAACAAACCACATAGGTCCCCATGCAAGAAATGGCATATCTATAAAAGAAGAAAGCAGGCAGTATGATGTCTTAAGGGCAGGTACTGACAATTCCCAGGATGCTTTCAAAGTGATCAGCAGCAATGGGGAGCAAGTGAGAGTTTACAAGTGCGAACACTGTCGAGTCCTTTTCTTGGATCACGTGATGTATACAATCCACATGGGCTGCCATGGGTTCCGCGACCCTTTTGAATGCAACATGTGCGGCTACCACAGCCAGGACAGGTATGAATTTTCTTCCCACATAACTCGAGGAGAGCACCGTTTCCACATGAGTTAAAACTCCTCGGGCACAGCTCCAGTCTCAACAACTACATTACTGCAGCTGCACAAGCAACAACAGCAACAAAGCACAAGACTAGTGGACAGTAAAAGTACAAGAAAATCAAAAATTCAGATATAATCTCCCACAAGGAAAGATTTTTCTTTTGGTAGCATGTGTTGCAACTCAGTTTTCTAAAGTGAATATTAAAGTTTTTACTGAAAGCATTTGATCACAAAAACCTTTAGCAATGTATGTAGGAGCTTTTGTAGTCAGATAGCTGAAAGTCCTTTCCTTAACTGATGCTTCTTGCAACCCTCCCTTGTCAAAACTGCTACCCACGCACAGAATGCACAGCGTGGATGTGAACCTGAGGCAGGAATGGCCTAGCTTTCTCTCTTAACACCCTGCATACAGGGTTCATGCACCAGATGCATTTTTTTAACTTCCAGGTTTTATTTGAATCATACAGAAAGATTAAACTCAACTAAAGATTGAGGGCCCAGCCATCCCAGTTGACTTTGCAGACAGCTGGGGTGGGACTGGAACCCAACCAGAGGGTCCAGGGTTACTTTGGCAGTAAAAAGTAGAACATTTCCACCTGCAAGGGTGCTGCTGGAATTGACACTGTGGCATGCCTTGTTTGTGTCACTAGGCACACGAGCAGGTATGTGGAAGATATAAGAAACACCCTTGTAAGGGTACTCTGTGAAGTATGAATTGCATTTAATGTATAGAAAAGAATATTGATGGCTCTTCCTTAAACAAATGTTTTCCCTCCCTATTCAATAGAACCCCACTTACTGTTAAGAAACTCCTCCTCTCTCTGCAGAAACAAGTTACAATGTATTTAATTTTTCTTTTTTGAGTTTTAGTTATTTAGAAGAGTATAATGTACAGTTGAGAAAAGCACTAGCTAGAAATACATGTGGGGAAAATTCTCCTTATGCACATTTCTCATTTTTTTATACTGTCTGGAAAATACCCAAATATCCCTATATTTTACCTTTGAGAAATTCCCGTTCTGCTTCCACAGATGACGTCTTGCAGATTTTGTGGCTCTATTTGTGTTGTACTTAATTATTTGTAAAACACCGAGCTGAATTAAACCAGCTAGTCAACATTTGTAGCCTCCTTCCTCTTTCCTGGTATTTGCTATTTAAGGAGGGATCAATCCCTCAGTGGTAGCCTCTTTGCAAATGTGCTAAATACGTTGGCTTCTTGATTAGCAAAACATTCAGAACGCACTTGGAGCTAATGTTAGGGTTAAAAAAAACCCTGGTGTTTTGCTGAATAGAGGGCAGAGAATGCAGTACTTTGCAGAGTCCAGGAAATTCACCACAGCTTTCTCCATGGTGGATTCTGCTGCAGATACTGTAACTTCAGTTAGAATAAAAACTCCTCCAAGAAAAACTTTCTAACCCCAAACACAGCTGATGTGAAAAAGTACTTTAAAAAACTGAAGTTCCTCTTCCAAATAGTTCATTCCTCTCCCTAAACACCCTCATAATATGAAATTGATCTGAAATGAAAATTTTACAGCTGCACCAAAAGAACTCTAATTGGTGCTGCAATATTTTCTGGGCATCATTCCTAAGAACAACCTACCCAATTAACTGAATGTTTCAATCCTTTCATTCCTTATAATAAGTGTATATTCTCCATTTAAAAAAAAAAAAAAAAAATCATGTAACCCACAAGTTTATCTGCCTTGTAATACAGTCACACATTCTCTCACAAGTGCAAGCACACGCATGATTATAAAAGAGATTTAATGGAACCATGAACACTTGTACCTAGGGCAATTTGGCCTGATATGCATAGTTATATTTAATACACAATTCTATCGTGGACACCCAGTTCCTCCTTCTGCTTTCACTTTTGCAGGTGTAAGTCAGGAGCAATACCACAGAAGTTAGAGGAAAAACACTGATGAAATAATGAATTACAAATACATTCTCTTACACTCTTCATATGCTGGGTCTGCACAGCAATGGTCAGACACATGCACAGTAGTATTTTTACACTGTGTGTGCATGCAAGTATGCATAGTGAGTAGCTGTATTACCAGAAGTGAATGCTGTGTAGGGATGTCCACATGCTGATGCACACACCTACAAAAGTGAAAGCAAACTATATAGTACACTTTAGGTAGTAAAAGCACATACAAAATATCCAGTGCCCCCCTCCCAAACATTAGTAACGTAATGTACAGGTGCAAAGCTGAGCGCTCCCAACACCCTGTTTTAGCTCAGTCACGAGACCTGGCTGCTTGACACCTTACAGCCCAAGCTGGCTGCAGGCACTAAAGGATCGTGGGCCAATTTCAGGCCACAAGCATGGGTTTTGTCAGCATGTCTGATACGTGTTCAGTTTCAAGACAAGCCTACATGTGGCAACAAGGTAAAAGGTGCCATCACTTACGTACTTTGTGTAGGGATGACCTGAAGAAGACCTTCAAGGGAGAAGCTTACGCTGATGATGGTTTCATTTGTTTTTGTTGTAATTGGGCTATTTCAATAAAGTTTAAGAGGGCTCATTTTTTCTGCAGTTATTTGGCATATATATTCACCCACTCTTGTCCCTCTCAACCTTCAACTGATCCAGACTAAGAAGGGACAAAGTAATTTCTTAGCTCTTGGATGTCATTTGTGTAGAGTTATGACTACTCTATTATTAATATTTTGGCTGTTCTTAGATATAGGCCATTATACACCCCATGTCATCATTTTCTTAACTCTTCATTTTAAGGCACCCCAGGCTATAAAAGAGGAGGTGGCAAAAGCTTACTCAGGTGGTTGTTTTTTGTTTTTTTTTTACTATACAAATAAATACAAATAAAGCAACATTCATTAACCATATAAACAAGCACAGTTCCAGCTGAATTCAAAACTTCATTGGACTTAGCTTTATTAAATATGATTTCTGACCAAGCTCACCGTCTTTGCAACATTTCTGTGTACACATGTGTACGTATGAATTTCTGTGTTACTTCTCAACAGACACATGCTCTATTCATACTTTTGTGTATCACCAATTTTATATACATATATGTGTGTGTGTGTGTATACATAAATATATCTAAAATGGTTCCTATCACATAATGATGCACTGTCAATCACAGTGGGTTTCTTTCCTGCGTATGGAGTTTCTTTATTTGTACTATAACAGAACATGTTGATGTTGTATATTAAACAGTACAGTGGTATAAGTAATATTAAGATATGGTGTATCAGAGGGCATAGTCAAAAGGCAGGGGCAAATAGCATTTCCCATTCATGAAGGGGATTTGGGGGTTATTTTTTGGATTGTTTTTGCACAAATCATCTTCAATTTGTTTAGAACCAAATGTTTCAATAATTTTATTGTACATGACAGGAAGGCATGAAAGTAGGATGCTGTGTACATACATCTAAACAAACTGTGCCCTCAGAAAACTAGCTTAGTATAATCTCCCTTTTTTCTATGCTTTGCTGTGGTGCAATAACTTAATATAGTTTAACTGAGCCGAGAAAAAGAGTAAATATGGTGAATGGCTTTAAGTTTATACCTGTGTGGAAAAAAAAAGGTAAAAAAGAACCACTTTCTAGCCCTTCCCTGGGCACTGCCTTTTCCAATAGAAACATTGCATTTACACTTTTTTTTTTTTTTTTTTTTTTTTTTTTGAGAAAATTGTATTTGAAAAAATCATAAAAAATGTGAAATGTTATTAAGTTTTGCCTGCAAAGTGAGATGTATGTATGTTGTAAGATAATGTGGTTGGGGAAAAAAGAGAGAAGGAGAGAAGGAGAGAGAGAAGGAGAGAAAGAGAGGGAAGGAAATAAAACACCACAACCAAAAGAGACATGAAAGCCCAGAACATTTCTGTTGCTTTCCTAGCAGTGAAGAAGCAACTGTGTACAGCTCAGGCCCTGTATGGGTGGGTGGTTGTAAGTGAGCAGTGCACAGCCCTGAGGGACACTCAATAGGCAGCATCACCCTCAGGCTCTGGTACCACACCCTGTGGTGAGTTTGTCCCTGCTGTCCTCCCAGTCCATCTTCGGAGGCCAAAAAAAGATCACACTGCTTCTGACAGGCTGCATATAGCTGCCTTGCCAGGCCACTTCCAGCTGCACAGATTTGCTACATCCTACCAGCACTGCCCTTGGCCACAAAATGTCAGGTAGCTGCTTCGTGCAGCTGACTTTAAGCAGGCTTCTTCCCTTCCAGTCAGCCCTTGCCCTTTCCTCCATCAGCAAGACTAAGCCATTACAGAACACAATTACTTCTGCATGTAGAGTCATGGTAATTCAAAAGAAAACACTGAGAAATTATTTCTACTATTTACCATAACAAAGGTGATTTCTCTCTGCGGGTGTCTCTGCTTCTTTCAGATTCCAGCACAGTAAATTTCACATCACATATTAATGCCAACAAGAATCATTGTTTTGTTTAGAAAAGGCACAGTTTATAAGTTTTAGAACTATTTACGTTTGTAAAACAGTATTATTATGAACAAAATGAGATTTAAAAAGACCTTTGGTATCGTAATCAATTATTTTACAGATTCCTAAAACTAGATATTCCTCAAGTTACTTGCATTTATTTTCATCATCAACTACTACTATTTTTCTGTAAGAAGGAAGATTCCAGTGTCACCATAGCCAGTTCTCAGTAAATGAACTGAACTGTACTCTTCAGTTTCAGCAAATGGCTCTCCAAGAAATTGAGATGTTAAATGATAATAATCACAAAAAGACTAAATGTAATATTCCCAGTAGAAATTATTAAATCCTTGAACTTACACAGATTTAAAGTTTGCATTGCTAAAAACCCACGGCAGGTATTTCTTGTTTCAAAGACTTTCTATCAAATCATCTTACTTACGCTTTTCCTACTCTCTTAACTTGATTAAATGGTACCAGAAATGGCTGTAGGTGGGAAGATACGCAATGTTACACAGACACCAGTGAGTATTTGTAGCTGTGAGTCCCCAGCCAGGATTCCCAATCCATATTTAAGCATCTACGCATGTGCTCACCAACTAATGTTCTCTGATCAGTCTTTAAAATCAAGAAACAAACTGAAACAGCCATGATTCTTCATGTAGATATCAAAATAAGAACTCAGAACCAGATCTGGAGTACAGATATCTGATAATATCATTATTTCCTACTTTTTTCTGGGTGAGGAAAAAAAAAATCACCTGGAGAAAAGTGCTTAGGAGCGTTTCTGACTTTCCCAACAGACTGAAAATACTGCACCACTTTTGCAAACTGGGTTGCACCTGCAATCAAAAGACACGACCTACTGCTTGTTTGGAAGGAAAATGGTGCACGAGACCAAATTGTGGTCTTAATGCAGCATAAAGGACCAAAACCCATCAGAACTGGTCTGTAAAAGGTGCCAGAATTGGGTAACAGAGGTCTTAGGTCTTAATTTTAAAAAGAGGTCCATTATCCCAGTTTCCTAGTTTTAACTTCTGGCTTTTTCTCCAACTCTGAATTTCCAGGGCTCCTGAACGCACAATTCTCAAAAATCACTGGAAGTTGTTCAAGCAAAGCATTTCTGAAATCGTGCCACTGTTGCCAGAAGATAGGTACCCTCCAAAAGAGGAGGACCAACGGATTAGCAGTTTTACTGAAAATGGGATAGATGGGAGTGAGAAATACAAAGATGGGCTTCAGAGAGCATCACTTTCCAACCAAAAAAAATGGACTGCAGCAAGCACAGCTGAAACTACACTGTGCTAAAAGAGACTACTAACTGCAGTGAGAGTTGAGCTAACTGCTAATTTATTTAAAGTAAGGTCTCACTGCTTTAGAGAGGACCCAGGTTGCAGAACAATTCCCAGTTTTATCTGTCCCGACCACACGTATGAGGCATGTGAGTGACAGAGGGCAGCTGCTGCTGTTTCTGCCGCGGGTGGTGGCTGCAAATCACACAAACCAACGCCTTCCTGTCCCTTGGGAGAGAAGTGAAGGTTCTGGTTTATAAGCAGTTAGCAAAAAAAAAAAAAAACAAAAATCTACACCTTGCAGCAGACAGCGAGCCCAGGGCTGGCGGGGTGAGGAAGTTAATCAGCACCAAGCAGGCTGTTCGGGATGAGGCCAAACAGATGGCTCGTCTCTGAAACGGCAAAAC